AACGGGTAGTAAAAATAATCCGATGAGATATCTTATAAGATTAACATGAAAATTAATACTTGAAACTAAATAAAACGTCATCACAGCGTAATAAAAAAATAGTAATTGGACTGTGCTTTGACAGAACCAAATCCAGAAATGCGTGGTCTGCGATTACTTTAGGATTAGTGTATAATATAAGATTTTATGTCACCGAAACCGATTATTCTCGAATGTTGCGTTTATCTTGTCTCGAGAGTGGTTAGTTTCCACGAATAATTGACGGGACAGCATCAAATTGTATGGCAATAAAATTTGTTATTATCCGATGAACATTTCGGGAGAATGGTAATAAACAGGGTTGGGATTTTATAGCATTTGCATATTTCTTATGAGATGCTTAAAAAATAGCAGAGTAAGCTAAAAATGTGTTTCATGATACAGAGAACTCAAATTAAAAATTTTATTTTGCTTTTTTTTGCATATTTTACGATTTTTTAGTTTTTACTGCTTTTTTAGGATTTTTTGAGCCTTTTTTGCATTTTTACCTGTTTTTGAATCAAAATCTGTCAAAATTTTATGAAATTATATTTTAGTAAACGTGTTTTTAGATTTTAGTCAGTTGAATTATCAAATAAATTGTAAATGTACCTATAGATTAAGTAATTAGGCCGATTACGACGATGCAACGCCGTACAGCGTTAAGTATAATATAATACTACGATAATATCGTATTAGGTCTTTGGTTCTAATTTTGTATGTGAGAATATTTAACAGTGTCCCAATAGCAAATTACTTCGGCAAAATATTTTTGTTCTGGATAGAGTTAAATTTCGTGCACAACTGGATTTTTAGAAAACGATATTATACATTATAACATTTAGCTTAAAGTGTTATTATAATAATTATACCAAATATTATTTCACTAGCATTTTAAAAGATTTACAAATCAAATTTACTTGGAGATTGAAGTGGTAACATTTGAAAAATACTTATTTCAGCGTAAATACTTAAAAAATTATATTTGTATAGTATAAAATGAGTAGCTGTAGTATTCAAAATATTGTATACATGAATATACTAATGAATATTATGTAATGTACATTAATATATACTGTATAAGTGTATATAAAATATAGAAAAAAATTAATATAGTGTAAAATTATAACATAAATAAATTAATAATAATTATTAATTTTTAAATTGTTATTTAAATTATATTTAAAAAAAAATTTGTACATAAATGTTTGAGCATTATTAATATATTATTAATAGGTAGTTATTACATAATGTTAATATCAATGTGAATAGGTAATCGAATGAATTAACGCCCAATGTATCGCAGATGTACCCCAATAGGTATTATATCAATCAAAAATAGTTGGAATGGTTTGGTCTTTCAGGTTGGGGATTATAGTGTCAGACTAACAACCTTATAAAAAAAATTATGTCCTGGTATCAAATTAATTGCCTTTGAATATTGTGGAGTAATGGATTTTAGAATAAAACAGATTTCGGAAAAACAAAATTCGGTTTTACGCGTAGGTACTTTGAACGTACGCACAGCTCGGATACTAATAAAACCAACCGTTATGTATAGGTTGGAGACATGATCGTTACGAAAGACAGACGAAAATTCACTATGTATCTTCGAGAGAAAAGTATAACGTCTGTAAAAATGTAAATATTAAAAAATGGAGAACCCGAAAATATAGAGAAATAAAATAACTATATCAAAACTTGAGTATTGTGGAGGACATCACCATGAGTATATCCTATAGGACAGGGATGAGCAACTCAAAGTTACTAGAGGGCCAGAGCATAAAAAAAAAAAGTCATTCAAAATATGAATTTTAATTAGCATTTATATACATGGAAATAATAAATTTAACACACACGACAGCACGATACGAATGATACGAAGAAACTGATAGAGTTAAATAGATCGGTACAAACAGCTATAGTTGAAAGCTATACTTATACATACAAGTACATATGACATTTAGACATTTAACGATGTTTAATACTAGATAACAATTATTATATCGATGTCAGAGTATAGACGATAAACTTTAAAATTGTATGATGTAATTTTAAAATATAATACGGGCTTAGATAAAAAAAGCTATTAGGCCGCCAGTAGCCCACCCCTGGTATAGGACATGCATAACGTTAAGAAGGTGGTAAGGAAAACTACTAAGAATAGTAAATATGTAGATACTAGAAATGTTCTTGAAGAAAAAAGATTGTTGGGACGTCCAAGATAACGTCGAAAAGACAGGGTAAAAGACGATATAGAAATATTAAGACTAAGAAAGGACTGGAAGCTAATAGCTTTAGAAAGAAAAATTGGAGGACATTTTGTTGGATGGTACGGTATGAAGACCGAATACCACACATATAGTAAAAAGAAGAAGATGGTAAACATTTTAACTAATAATGACTGTTATTGTGATTATTGAGCTATATTGACATTAAAAGCTAAATAAAATAATAATAACTGTGTTAAAGATACTGCGATGAAGTTAAACTAACTGTCTGTGTGTACTTATTATTTTTATGAAATACAATTTTTAATTGAGATTCAAGTATAAAAAATGTATTCTGTATTTTGCATACTTAAGACGAATATATTTGAATAGTTCTATACAACTTGTTCTATACAACAATACTTAATTATTGTGTAAAAGGTTAAATGATTTAAAGCGAAAGTAGATATAATATTTTTGTTTTGTTTTTATTGTTGCCAATCAACTGTCATAACGCATAACTCACGTATAATTTTGACAAAGAGTGACTTGGTTAAGACTACATGAGAACAATGAGCGTATAATTTTTAAACGTATACATTGATTTTTGTTTTAAACATTTTAAATTTAATTCAAAATTGAATATTCCTTTGTGATAAATTAATATAGTATATCTTTTAAAATGCTGTTGATTTTCACTATAAAACAAATGTTTTGTTTTATTTTTATAATATTTGGATTATCAATTTAATCTCAGGTTTAATTACAGTTATCCAAATTACTATAATAATCGGGGGAAAATAATTTTACTACTTTCTAATTTTAATTTCTTTGACATTTTCGGTAAACAAAGTTTATCTTTTCAATCGAATCACCATAATCCGATGAATTCAGTTGATGTCTATCGGTTATATAATATAATCTTTATATCAGCACTAAACATTAAGACTACGTGCAGTGAACTTTATGACTTTCTAAAATCCACCGACCAACTGTTTATAATATAATATATTTATGTATATTGGTAACTATACATCGGTTACGTTTTTTTACTCACCGGTCACATATGCGCGTACACAGTAAACGTGCGGTACATCTTTGTCGGTAAACGCATATTGTATTACTTATGTCTTGTGTACCTATGTGTTTTGTGATATTTGTGGACACTGCTCGCATATACATATGTATATACTATAACAACAATTATCGCGTAACGTTTCGAATGCGCCAAGTGTAGAGTAGTGCGAAGAAGAAAATTGAATAAATAACAATCGTGACAACCATAGAGGTATACGTGTTTTCATAAACTATTACATATTGACAGCAATGATGTCATCGTGGGCGTAATAATAACAGTATAAATAATACAACCTCGCGCGTCACCGATTAATTATTATTATTATTATCATCGGTTTGTCGTTGACTGATGACAACCGACGCCGCAATGATCACTCGTGTGAGGTATACGCAGCGGTTAACGATTTACCTGCTATGCGTTTATGTATTAATAATGAAAACTGTTTTTATTTTTCTTTTAGAAAGTCCATTCGTGCGTGCACTCCATCTAAAAGTAAAACCACTTAGTTTCAACAAAATAACACGACAAACTATCTCGTACGACACGCATACGAAATATCACCTAGGTATCCAATACTCGTACTGTCATTTGACGAGTGCCAATACGTAACATGTAAAAGTAATAATTGGAATTCGTCGTAGTAATATAATTTTATTCATTATTTTTTTTTTTGTAGCGAAACCGTTGTGCGCTGATTTATAATTGTTGTTATAGCAGACGAATGCACTGCATGTCTTCACACGTACCACGCGTTATGATCATAACATTGTTGTTATTGTCGTTAAAATGCAACTAATAATTATAGCGTCATGCACTTGCAACCGTTTTCCTTTGTTTATCGATTCTATTTCGTCAATTGCAACACTTTAAACGATACGATGGTTTTTAGACACACGATTGCATGTTTATTACCTACATTTATATCACAATCCGAAAATGTAATTATTTTTAGTGCAGTTAAATGTTTAACAATATGTCTAAAACTTACAAGCAATTTTTCAGTTTCATAAATTATTGTATGTACTAGTACTAAGAATGACGATATTAACGATAACAGCTCTTAAAGTTCTAAAAATTCTAAACATTAAATGTTATTGCTAGTTGGATTAGAGTAAGTTTAACCATATGATTTTATATTTTACAATTCATTCATAAAAATAACGTTATTTTTATCAATCAAAATACAGAGCCGAGGAAATATGTATAATATATTTTATAACTTATACATACAAAAATAAATAACTATTTAAAACCAAGTAATTCTTAAATACTATAAAACAACAAAAAAGATCTTAAAATAACATTTAAAACGATTATTTGAAAAAATGTTTATATGTTTTTACAAAATTATATGTGCAATATATGATTAACAAATTTTTAAATTTTACGAAACAATATAATAAGTCATAACACATCAGAATAAGAATTTATTTAATTATTTCTATATTAAAACTATTTTTTTATTTATTGGTATATTAATTTATGAGTATTGACCATTTAATCGTTATTAATATTAATTTAATTTATATTATTTTATAAATTACAATGTATTAATTAATTAAATTTACATATATCATGTTTCATTAAATAGTCTATCGTTTTAAAAAATGCATTGTATTATAAATACTTACATACTATATTTACATATAAAAATTTTCCATAAAACAAATGTTAAATCTAATATGAGAATAAATTAAAAATTGATAAGCGACTAATATTCGTAATTAAAAACAAATTTACATTTCATCTCACTATATGCTGTGTCACACTATCATTGTAATAAGATATATATATATAACATTACATTTTAAGGTATTCAAATTTTAAAGACAGTTAAACAATAATAATTATATAACGATTAATGAAATTGTAAATTCAAAATATTTTACGCCACACTAGGTATGACTGATGTAGATCCCCAAGCTCTCTACGATAATAAATTATATTTTTGACATGAATAATTATGCTAAATAGGAATAATCGGAAATCGAATTTTAAAATGATTAAAAAATAAAACAGTATAAATAGTATTTAAACTTAATACTGGATATAGTACGTAATAATAGGTTTGATAATAATGTGCTATTATCGTAAATGTGCTTTATTTTTAAAATCATTTTTCGAGGCATTATTATTATACGTAAATAATTATAACTATGTAATCGATTCGTGTGATATGACCGTAGAAATATTCAGTGATTGATCTAGTCAAATAAGAAATAAAAATAAAAAACAATTGAGCAAATAATAATTAACAATCGAAAAAAAAAAACAGTTGTTGTCAAAGTGCGGCCACGTCGGACACGTGTATATAGTGAACGACAGACACTACGTCATAGGCCTTCCAACACCCAATCTTCTTTGATCATGTCCGCACCCTTCTCGCCGATCATGATGACCGGCGCGTTCGGGTTGCCACTGATAATGGTGGGCATGATGGAGGCGTCCACTACCCGAAGGCCGCGGACCCCGTGCACCCTGAGGCGGTGGTCGACCACGGCATCGGGGTCGGTGCCCGGGCCCATCTTGCACGTGCCCGCCGGATGGTAAATAGTGAAGGTGAAGTGCCGGAGCGCGCATTCCCAGTACTCGTCGCTGAACAACTCAAACTTTTTGCAGCCCGGCATCGGCGTGAGCAGTGGCCTGGAGTTGTGTTTGCGGAATGCGGCCGTGTTGGACACGTTGAACGCGATCCGGATGCCCTCGACCAGCACCTGCACATCCTCGCGGTGCGCGAAATAGTTGGGCTCAATGATCGGGTACACTAGCGGGTTCCTGCTCTTCAGCCTCACCCAGCCGGTGCTCTTAGGCCGCAGCAGCAGCGGCAGCAGCGTCCACGTCTCAGCGTTCACGAGCGGCTTGTACACGGTGTTGTATACGGCGTCCCGCAGCCCGGTGATCTTGCGAATCTGATCGCCGTCCGAGTTGACGGAGCTGGGCGCGAAGTGGAACTGGATGTCCGGGAACTCACCGGACGGGTCCGCGTACTTGGTGTTGACAAACGCCAGCCCTTCGACGCCGCTGGACGTCAGCGGACCCCGTTCGTT